ATATGTATGCATGTTTGTATATATTTTTTCACATTATGTTCATACTGAAGTAGATTAAATATAAAACTTGCAGTTTATATTCTTCAATTCTCTCACCTGTGGAGGAAGAAGAGGGAGTCGGATGTAAGCGAGGAGCACCCCGAGGTCCTTTTGTCGATGCTGGACATCGTACCTCACCCACATCATCAAAGCTTGGAAAATCGTCTCTTCGTCGGGAACATTGATGTCATCACTGGAGAGCAGCTTAACAATCTCCGCCGTGGGGAGCAGAAGAAACTCCTGATTCTGTATGACCTCCAGGAAGTGTTCCTGGAACAGAAAGGAGACACAGAGGAGACAGATAATCATCAGTTATTAGAGGAAATGCACTCTGTGCCGCTTTGTGTGCGTGCATGTGTGTGTCTGTCTCCGTTTGGACGAAGTGGCACAAGGACAGGGAGGTGAAGAAAAATGAGTAAAAGAAGTAAGATGGTGGGCATTAGCCTCTATCTTCAGGAACTGACACACAATTAAATGTTTCCTATATAAATATATATATATATATATATATATATATATATATATATATATATATATTAAATGGAATATATATGATACAGTTAACTGTTTCATAATGGACATTAAAAGCATTGATCCAAATTTACAAAGTACAAATCTATTCAACATGAGACGTACTTTAAAAAGCCCTTATTGAAAAGCTAATAAGGCTTTTGTTTTGCTACTAATCATACATGATACCTTTAAGCCCTTCTAAGCCTTTTAATGAGAAACAGCCGGTTCATGTTAACTATTGCAGTTTCTCGAATGCTGTGTCCAGCTCGGATTTTTGTGAAAGCTGTTTTCTGTTGCCTCTCTAAAGATTAATCTTCCACTTGTTGGCCAGAGGCCCAGCCGATAAGACGGCGCTGCACGGCTACATCCTCAAGGCCTTTGTCTCTGGGCTCTTCCATTAGAGATGATGTACTGCATGAAATCTACCTTGGATCCATAGCATGTCCAACATTTAAACAGTGGGGAGACAGAGAGCAATCATTTTGCCTTGTTTACTCTGAACGAGGCAGCTGAGCTTTGATTACCAAGCCGCAGCAGTAACTTTGGGTTCACGACGAACTGGAAGCTCTTAACTTGCAAAAAGAGAAACAATAAAACTACAATGAGACTATTGATCATCAACTTGTAACAAATTACACTGTCTTGATCCAATCTTTATGAAAGCAGGTTTAAGAGCTTAATTCAAAGGGTTTTAATGAAATGGGGAACATGTATCGATTGGTGGTGGTTAAGCTGAGGTGGAAAGTTCATCCAACTCTTTGGCAATTATTTCACTTTGTTATGGCCACTGGTTTTGAACAGTTGGGAGCAAAACTGAAAACTAAGCAGAGTCTTTTGTAGGCTGTTTAGAAGGTCTAGTTTTTTAGCATAGTTGTTGCAAGAAATAAAACAGCACAATGCGACTTTAAACTATTTGTCCTATCATAAGTCCCCCATTTATTTGTCCTTTAACTATGTATGTCCAGGAATATTTGGGGTCACAAGTCTTTGCCACTGTTAATCTGGGGTCAGAAGGTTTATGAACCCCTGTAATAAGCCTTTACATCCCAGTCAACTTTACATTTCACAGTTATATCAGCAGAAGCATCTATGCCTGGAGAGCCCCTGGCTGTACAGGAAATACTACTGCTAGCTGCCCTGATGCAAGCTCAATAATCCAAGTATTATGAATCTAACAAGGTTGAGTCAGGTCCTCTGGACGGATTCTTCTTTGTTGAAACGTTTTGTCTTTTATTAAAAAAAACTTCTTCAGTCTGAGGATCTGCAACAAACAGTCTTATAAGCAACACCTTCTCATACTGGATCAACCAGTTTGCTGTTGACAACTAAAACTAAACTTGACAGCTGGCTACTGCTAGCTGTTGTTGCTGCTGCTGTTTGACCTTGCAACAAGAAAAAAACTATTGGGATCTATGTAAAGAACTGTACAGTAGTCCCTCGGTTATCACGGGGGATACGTACCCTGAAGCCCCGTGAGAAGTGAAAAACCACAAAGTAGGAATAGTAGTACAAGTAGTAAGTAGTATTTTATTTATATATATATATATATATATATATATATATATATATATATATATATATATATATATATATATATATATAAAGGCATTTTAAACCTTTCCCACACTCTTGCAATATTCTAAACAATGTTTCTAAACGCTCTAAAAGAGCACAGCATGTCATTTCAGCTCTCTGCCATTTGCCAGGGCGCTTGGCCACACCCACTTCACTGCAGAGAGACCATGACATGCTGCAGGAGGACGTTTCTCCTTCAGCTGTTGATTGCATACAATTGCAGAAAGAGGGTGTTTCTTGTGTGGGCTGCACACAGGTGCACCAGGTGCTAAATAATTTTAAATAATTTATTTTAAATAAAAAATTTTGTGCCGATCGCGTGGCTCATCCATCAATCAGCCAGTTGTGTGTCATGTCCAATCTTGCTTTGAAAAACCGCGATAAAGCGAGTCCGCGAAAACCGAACCGCGAAGTAGCGAGGGACTACTGTCATTCAAAACTGAGAACAATTTAAAAGTTTTTTTTTCAGGTTCACATGAATTACAACGAAATTGTTTAGACCAAAATGGCTGCGCTCCACTTTGGTTTTCCCCCTCCCAGAGTAGCCATTAAGTCCAAAGTGAGTTTTGTTTATCTAGACTGAGGCCATTCAAATACTTATCTACAACAGGTAAGATGCCATTTGTTCTTAACCTTGCCACAGGACTCAACTTTAAAAAAAAATACTAACTAAGCCTACTACCACAACTATTTTCTAAGACTTTTTGATCGCTATTTGCTTCAACTTAAGAATATGTTGCTGTGATTCTCTTAAAAAAAGCAGGTTATAATTAGGAAAACACTATTTTTCGGTATGCACTGTACCATTAAAAATGTAAAAGGATGTTAGCAAATGGACCACCATGCTCAAACAGTGAAACCAAGCTTGTTTGAACAGGACTCGGTCCACTCGGAACACAGCGGATGGAGTAACCAGGAAGTCTACAGCCATCCCTGCTCATTATTTAACTGATTGAACAGGAAGCCGGCCCTCTTGTGCAGTTTAATGATTAGATTAACCTCCTGGTCCAGGATGGAGGCTGTGATGTACATTGGATGAACAGATGTCCTTTAGGAGATAACGCCTGCCTTGCGCTGTCACTTCAGCATGACTGAGAAAAACACGATCTGACAAATAATGTGGTGAATCTTAATCCAGTGCAAATATCCATCGCAGAAAAAAAAATGAGATTGCACGTAAGGCAGTGCACTAATCAATGTGCAGCAGTTGTGCTGTGTCTTCTGACAGCATAAATTACATGAAGTGAAAGCATGAAATTATTCCATTTCCATTCTATCCAAATACCATCACCTCTGCTGAAATTGGAAGATAAAAACAACCAAGGTGCCGGTTTTTTTTTTTATTCCCTCACAGTTTATGATGGAATATTTAAATTAGTTCATCTAAAAACAAATAACTGTCTAAAAATGCATGTTATTACCACCCAAAAGGCAGGTGATAATGTTTTTTTGCCAATATGTGTTCATTTTTTGTTGTGTTAGCAAAATTTCACATCATATCTCATACAATTTTGCACATATTGAAGGAAAATTTGGTGTTGTTGTCGATGAAAGTAATTCCCAGCACACACTCCGAGCGCTAACAGTTTGCTTGAGATCTCACAAAATTGCTTGAGATCACCTTGTTTTCAAGCTGAAAATTACTTCTTAACATTTAATAAATGGAAAACAGTAACTCCGGTGTGGATGACTTTCACGTTAACACAAAAACAGAGTGTTTTAAAAATATGTATTGTTGCTTGTATGGTTTGGTTGTGGATGCCAGTGTGCATTCATGCAGCACAGAACACACAGAGCCTTATTACAAAGTAAATAATTTAGCCCACCACTGAGTCGTTCACTGTCCTACCATGGTGTAATTATGAGCCACGTTCAGCAGGTCCACACAGCCCTGGGCGTCTGCGAACGATCGTATTCCCAGGCAGTTGGATGGATGAAGCTGTTTCATGAGGAAGCTGCAGCAAACCTGGATAACTTGTGAAAGCTGGAGGAGGCATGCTGCTGCCAATAAACTCTCGATGGTTTCTTCTTTCAGCTCAAGGACACCTGGAATGCATTACAACAACAACAAAAAAAGGAAATACAGCTAAAACAGCGAAGTTGTTTAAACTAAACTAGAGAACTTTTATTTTCTGCAAAACATCAGTGTGAATTCTGATAACTCAAGAGTTGTTAAAGCTAAACAGAAGCTACAAGTTAAAATTACAAAAGGCTAAGTAAAAAAAACAAGCGTAGCAAAGCACCAGTGAAAAGCTAAAAGTGGCAAAAGGCTAATTAAAAGTATGAAATGTCTATTTAAAAGCTAGCAGTAGCAATAAGCTAAAAATGTAAAAGGCTAGCTAAAAGCAGTAAAATTGTAGCTAGAAGCTAACATAGCAAAAGGCTTACTAAATTTAGCAAAAATATAACTAAAATTAGTAAAAAGCTAGCTGGAATTGAAATGTTGTAAAAAAAAAAAAAATAGGTAAGAGGTCATTTAGGTAAAAGACTAATTAAAAGCAACAAAAAGCTAGCTAGAAGCCAGAAGTGGCTAGTTAAAAGCTAAAAATATGTTTTCAAATAAATTAAATATTTTGAAAACAATAAAAGTTACGAAAAAAAAAACACAGAACCCATTTCTTGAATAAGCTACACATTTCTGCTGTATTTTTAATCAAAATGAGCACAAAGTATTCATGAGTAGTTAGAGGGGAAAAAAGAGGAAGTGAATCAACTTTCACTCAATAAAATTCTATTCAGTTTATTTATAGCAACAAGTCACAACAGAAGTCGCCTCAGGGCACTGCACAGAAGCATTCATATATATAAAAAAATAATTTAACATTAATTATCTGAGGAGCAGACTGCTTTGAGTTTAACTTCATCGTAGACTCTCATTCTGAGCAAGCATGAAGGCGACAGTGGAAAGGAAAAACTCCCTTTTGAGGAAGAAACCTTTAGCAGAACCAGGCTCAAAAAGGCAAAACTGTTCTGTCTCAGACCTTTAGTTACATTTTACTTTTGAAGCTTTAACAACCAGTCTCGAGATGCTGAATGTTCTACTTCAAAAACTCAGTAGGGGCTTTAACACGTGGCCGTTGGCCAGCTAAAATATTGTGATTTTAAGTTGAAGGGCTGCCCACTCAGTCAGCCCAAAGATGAATCGTTTTATTGATCCATTTTAATCACACAGGAGCACAAAGATCCTGCGCTGACTTACAAAAGTCTGTGCATTTCTTTACAGGCACTCACCCGTGTAGGCGAAATGAACCAGGGACCTGAGGGCCTCAGGATCCACTCCCTCCATCTTTATCTCCTCTTGCTTGGCCTCCCTCACGTCGCTGGTGAACATGGCAGCAAAGTAGTCTGAAACAGCACTTAGGACTAGTCTGCCATAAAGAGGGAGGGGAATAACAGATTAAAAATATGCTCTTTTCATCTTTATTGAGCCATGTAGATGAGATGGTTTTCAGATTGATTTAAAAAGAAATGTATCTTTGCACTTGAAAAACATGCAGTTTTTGCTGTTTATTTTATCAAATTGTAAAAGAGTAAATATGCCATGTAGCTGCCATATTTCTGTCTGCACTGCTGATTGAAGGGTTTTGTATTTGTTACATCGCCATAAGCAAAACAGCTATTCAAAGTCTGTCACATGATCTTATTTATTAGTACTATTCAAATTATATAAGAAAAGAGGAA